ATAAAGTCGTCTTAGATGGTTTGGTCATATTAAACGTCGACCATTAGATGATCCGATTAGGAGAGTAGATGTTTTAAATTCGACTTGTGTTAAGAAAAGCAGAGGTAGACCTAGGAAGACTTGGGCTTATTGTATTAAAAATGATCTTAATTTACTAGAACTAAATGAAAATATGATACTAAATAGGACGCAATGGAGAAAAAGGATTCATGTAGCCGACCCCACATAGTGGGATTAAGGCTTTGTTGTTGTTGTTGTTGTTGTAAGAAGATATAAATAAATATAATTATCTTTTTATTTAATATTTTGAGCAAAAAATGAGCCAAAACATACAGATTCATTTGCTTAATTGCTAAAAAATTCTTAAAATTTTTCTCACAGGAATTTGGGAGAAGTTTTGATATGGTACTAATCTCCTTTCCAAAATATTTTTTTCTTTCCCACCAGGTACATTTCTTATACTTGGTGACAACCTAAATATAATTTAAAAATAATAATATTTAACAAATTTTAGTATATGTAAAAAGATATAAATAAATATAATTATCTTTTAATTTAATATTTTGAGCAAAAAAATGAGCTCAAGTGTTCAATTCATTTACTTAATTGTCAAAAAATTCTTCCCATTCATTTTTTATAATATTTTTCTCACAGCGCTTTGATAGAAGTCCTGATATGGGACTATTCTCCTTTCCGAAATATTTCTTCCCTTCCCAACCAGGCACATTGCTTATACATGGTGACAACCAAATTATAATTTAACCGACCCCACATAGTGGGATTAAGAAATTTAATAATTTTTAATATATGTAAGAAGATATAAATAAATATAATTAACTTTTTATTTAATATTTTGAGCAAAAAATGAGCCAAAATGTTCTGATGCATTTGCTTGATTACCGAAAGATTCTTAATATTTTTCTCACAGCAATTTGGTAGAAGTCTTGATATGGTACTAATCCATTTTCCAAAATATTTCTTCCCTTTCCCACCAGGCATATTGCTTATACTTGGTGACATCCTAAATATAATTTAAAAATTATAAAATTTAATAACTTTTTAATATATGTAAAAAGATATAAATAAATATAATTATCCTTTTATGTAATATTTTGAGAAAAAAATGAGCCAAAATGTTCATATTCATTTACTTAATTGCCAAAAAAAATTTTAATATTTTTCTCACAGCAATTTGGGAGAAGTTCTAATATGGTACTAATCTCCTTTCCAAAATATTTCTTCCCTTCCCCACTAGATACATTGCTTATAATTGGTGATGACCTAAATATAATTTAAAAATAGTAAAATTTAATAATTTTTAAATTCATTTGCTTAATTGCCAAAAAATTCTTAATATTTTTCTCACAGCAATTTGGGAGAAGTCCTGATATGATACTAATCCCCTTTCCAAAATATTTCTTTCCTTCCCCATCAGACACATTGCTTATATTTGGTGACGACCTAAATATAATTTAAAAATAGTAAAATTTAATAATTTTTAATATATGTAAAAAGATATAAATAAATATAACTATGTTTTATTTAATATTTTGAGCAAAAAATGAGCCAAAATGTTTAGATTCATTTGCTTAATTGCCAAAAAAATCTTAATATTTTTCTCACAGCAATTTGGTAGAAGGTTTGATATGGTACTAACTCCATTTTCCAAAATATTTCTTCCCTTCCCACGAGGTTCATTGGTTATACTCGGTGACGACCTAACTATAATTTAAAAATAGTAAAATTTAACAAATTTTAATAAATGTAAAAAGATATAAATAAATATAATTATTTTTTTATTTAATATTTTGGGCAAAAAAGGAGCCAAAATGTTCAGATTCATTTGCTTAATTCCCAAAAAATTCTTAATATTTTTCTCACAGCAATTTGTTAGAAGTCCTGATATGGTAGTAACCCCCTTTCTAAAATATTTCTTCCCTTCCCCACCAAGTACATTGCTTATACTTGGTGACGACCTAAATATAATTTAAAAATAGTAAAATTTAATAATTTTTAATATATATACTCCGAATTGCTGTGAGAAAAATATTATAAAAAATGAATGGGAAGAATTTTTTGGCAATTAAACAAATGAAACTGAACATTTCAACTCTTTTTTTACTCAAAATATTAAATAAAAAGATAATTATATTCATTTATATCTTCTTACATATATTAAAAATTGTTAAATGAGCTTGGTGGGGAATGGACAAAATATTTTGGAAAGGGATTAGTCCCATATCAGGACTTTTATCAAATTGTTATGACAAAAATATTATAAAAAATGAAAGTGAAGACTCTTTTGGCAAAAAAGTTAAGCTTTATATATCAATGTACGGCATCCAACTTTTGTTTGAAGATAAAGATTTTAATTTTACTAACAATTTTTTAATTAATTAAATTTTTTTTTCATGTCTGGAACTTGAGTCTAATCAGAATTACTGTCTTAACGAATTATTTCAAAATAATATATCTGTGAGGCTTTTCTGCAAATACGTAACTTCATTGGACCTAAATGTGAGCAACACATCTGTAATTCCAAAGTAGAGAAAATTCAACACCATCCTTTAATATATATTTTCTTTTTTTTTAAAAAAAATGTGTCTTTTCCAACTCGGTCCTTCTTGATTCCAACTCCCATTTCCCTATATAAACCCTAACCTCCCTCGTCTTTCGACACCCAGCTTCAGCCCATCTGTCCTTCTCCTTCTCTCCCGTGCGTATGGGTGGCCGGAAAATGAGTTCTTGTTTGGAAGAAGTTATACCCAAATGCCTGCTTCTGACTATTTGGGCCTTTCTTCTGCTGGCCAGAAACGGAGCGGAGGCATTTCATAGGCTTGCCACCACAGAAGAACTCCAAAAGGTTCCTCCTGCAACCATCACTAACCGCACAGGTTTTCATTTTCAAGCCCCCAAGAACTGGATTAATGGTGATTCTCCCTCTCTTTCGCTCTTATTTTGTACAGATTTTTTTTGTTTTTTTAGTGCAGATCCGGATCTGAAGATTACTAGAGAAGAATTTTCTTCCTTCTTGTTTTATATAGGTTTCGTTATGATAGATGATGGGCTACGAGTTTTCGAAATAGTTTGAAAAATGAAGTTAGATGATGCCAGATTCGGCTCTGGCGAGTAGGTTTTGATTGCTGAATTGTGGCCGGCTTCGTGCCCGTTTTCCATTGCTGGTCAACCGTAGGGGCCGCTGTTAATATTCAAATTTGTTTATGCCTAGCTATGCTATGAGGAAAATAAATAGTTATATAAATTGGATTTGAATATTTGACTCGATTTTTGTGGCATATTTTTTTAATTAAATTCATTAAAAATTCATTCGGATTTGTTTTTTTCTTATTATTATTAATATTATGGAATGCTGGCTAGTCAATAGAGCCGCGGGACTTTTGCTCCATTTAAGACATTGCATTTGCAAATAAATATATGACTTTATATCTGATTCATGAAATTCTGTTAATTTTTTCCCCATAAAATAATGCTATTATTCTGAATATATTTTCTGTAAAAAAATTGAACTTTTTAATAAATATGTGCTGGAAATTTCTATTATTTATTTATTTTTTATATGATTAAAATTATTCTTTTTCAATTAGTTTATTCTATGAGTTTTTAATCAAATGATTTAATGGAAAAATATTACATTCAGATAATAAGATATGTGGATGACAGAATCTACACGGCAGTCCACACGACAGCAAGTGGTGAGATTCACGTCATCATTCGGAATCGTGGAGCCATTCACACCATCATAATATTTCTCCCATAAAATTACTTGTCGAAACCTTCTCATATGAAACATTTGAAAATGACAAGTTTTACCTATAAAAGTAAGAAAAATAAATTAATATCAATTTCCAGCACAATTATTAAAAAATTTAAATTTGTTTTTAAAAAATATATTCATAATAAAAGCATTATTTTATGGAGAAAAAAATGAGCAGAATTATATGAATCACATATAAAGGCATAGTCATTTTAACATAGGAAAACTTCTCAATCAGGCAGCCCTATTGGCTCCTCAACATCATTCCAACAGGCGGACGACGCACAGTAATATTTTCCCGATATTATGGGTCCGCATGAAGTTTTCCTCGCTTTAATCGAAAGGTTCATTTCCTTTCTTAATGGCATCTCCAATCACTTTTGAGAAGCCATACTAATTGTCACATCATTTCGAATGATATATTAATTACGTTTGCTGATTTTTTTGGTATGATAACTTATCTATGGTCGCATATCTCAAAGTCTACTTTCAAAAGTCTTTAATTATCCTCTTAAATGCATTAGATCCCATAACTATTTCCTACTTATCGTACTTTAATTTGATCACTTAAATTTTCTGGTGCATAAAAAAATATGAATCAGCTCTGCTCTATCTTTATTCCTTCTAACTCTAACTATTATGGTGTTTCTTCTGCTCTAACTTTTATGGTGTTTCTTCTGCAAATGCTTTGGTGTTCACGGGCGACAGATCCTAATGGTATGCTCCGATCTCCCTCTCATATTTTTATATTCCAAAGTTTAGTCCGAAATTGTGATATAAAAATTATTTTAACCAAACATTACTTTCAAGAAAAATAAAGAATCAACATTTAACTGTAATTATAATAATGTTGGCCGGTTTGGCAGCTTGCACATTATAAAAATCTGTTATAAAAACTATTGCTAACAATAATTCAGTTCTTATCCAATAACCATATTAATTATTAATATATATGTATATATGTATAAATTATTTAAAAAATAAACTTGATGAAAATACAGGGCCAATGTACTACAATGGAATCTACCACTTATTCTACCAGTTCAACCCGAAAGAACCTGTTTGGGGAAATATCGTGTGGGCGCACTCCTACTCAACCGACCTGATAAACTGGAAGCCACTCGAGCCCGCCATTTACCCCACGAAGCCCTTTGATATCAACGGCTGCTGGTCCGGTTCGGCAACCATTCTCCCGGGTAACAAACCGGTCATCATGTACACAGGTATTGACCAACAAAACCGACAGGTTCAGAACGTGGCCTACCCGAAAAACCTGTCCGACCCGTATCTCCGGGAATGGGTCAAACCCGATTACAACCCGGTCATCCGACCCGAAGGCGACATAAACGCGACCGCTTTCCGCGATCCGACGACCGCGTGGTACGGCCACGACAGCCA